AAAAAAAAAAAAAAAAAACTACATTCATAGGCTTAAAACCATTTCACATCTTTCAGATCGGCAAAAATATAAAGAACTGACAATAAGTGCTGGTGACTGTGGAAACTTTCCCAAATTGCTAGTAAGAGTATAAATTACGTGAAGAGAAGGAAACACTTATAAACTGCTGGTGGGACTGCAAACTTATACAACTTTTGTGGAAGGAAGTATGGAGAATCCTCAAAAAACTCAAATTAGACCTCCCATTTAATCATGCAATCCCATTACTAGGCATTTACCCAGAAGGAAAATAATCATAAGGACATTTGGACTAGACTGTTTATTGCAGCTCAGTTTACAATCACCAAAATGTAGAAACCACCTAAATGCCCACCAACCCAGGAATAGATTAACAAGCTGTGGTATATGTACACCATGGAATACAATTAAGCCATTAAAAAAGATGATGACTTTACATCTTTTGTATTAAGCTAGATAGAGTTGGAACACATTCTTCTTAGTAAGGTATCACAAGAATGGAGAAGCAGCAATCCAATGTATTCATTTCTGATGTGAAGCCAGCAGATAATCTAATACATGCCCACCATAAGAGAAAAACTCAAATCAATTCAAGGTGGGGAGGGGGGTGTTCCCACTTAAGGGGCACAGGATTAAGGTATATGGCACACCTCTTGGGGGCAGGACACAATTATAAGGGAGACTTTACCTAACAAATACAAACAACGTAACCTAATTCTTCGTACCCTCAATTAACCTGAAACAATAAAAAGAAATCCTCAGTGCATCAGAAAAAAAGAGTATAAATTAATGCAGTTGGGAGGTGGAAGTCAATACTTAATAAAGTTGAAAAACTTCTGTATCAATTAGGATAGGTAAGAGAAAGATACCATATCAGTTATTTTAACAGAGAGAACTTATTCTAAAGAAATTTTAACTAGTTATGAAGGCATTAACCATATACCTGAAGAGGCAAAAGGAATACTCAAATTATCAGGATGGTGGCAACTGTAGAAAACAGGTCAGAGTAAGAAAGGGAGGAAGATGGAATTATTAAAACTTAGAAGGGTGGAGGAGGGGATATGATGCAGCTGGGACTCATCTCTAAGGAGGTGATACCAACCAGCTGTCTCAGAGGGCGTGGGTTATCATAAGGCTTGTTCTAGGAGTGCTGGAAAACTGTAAACTGGATGAAATGGCTGCTATGACAGGAACGGCTGCTGCCAAGTGAAGAAGTAATGCTGGGAAAACACTCTGATGAATAGGAAGCCAAAAAAGGAAGGGAGAAAAAACGGAGCAAGTTCCTTCTTCCCTTTCCAGCTCCAAAGTTCATATCTAGTACCTCTTATTAGCAAGGTTCAACAAGAAGCAGCTGGCAAGCCAGAAATATGTTTTTTAGAGTCACAGAAGCACAGTGAAAAAAGGTGGATTTGGAGCTGGGACACAGTAGCTTAATAACTGTCATATTGCTTAAACCCTATAACAGTTTAGACTCTTAACACAGAAACAATAAAAATGTCTTTCACTAGGGGAATGAAGGGATAAATAAATAAACCAGATCTATATGTATCAACATGGATAGATCTTGGAAAGATAACATTTGAGGAAAAAGGCAAGCTATAGAACTTTAAGTACAGTGTAATCCCATTTATGCAAAGTTTTTAAAAGACAAAATGGTTTTATATTACAGTCAAGGTTTTCTGTTTGACATTTAGAATTTCAATCTCCTAAAAAATTTCATGGGAGATTAAAATTCTAAATATTAAAAAGAAAATCTTAACTGTAGAGGAAAGTATAGTAGAATATTACCACCTTGAAACAGATAATAGTAAAACAAAACAACAGCAGAAGAAAAGAGATGACAAAATTAAAGAACTAGCCACAGGCTTGGTGCCTGTTGCTCAAGTGGCTAGGATGCCAGCCATATATATCAGAGCTGGCAGGTTCGAATCCAGCCCAGGCCTGCCAAACAACAATGATAACT